ATAATATATATACATAAAGGAGACACATAAAGGAGACAGATAAGGAGACAGATAAGGAGACAGATAAGGAGACACATAAAGGAGACACATAAAGGAGACAGATAAGGAAATATATAAAGGAGACAGATAAGAAAACAAATAAAGGAGACAGATAAGGAAACAGATAAGGAGACACACAAAGGAGACAGATAAAGGAGACAGCTATACATGCATGCATATATGCATGCATGCATGCATGCATGCATGGATATATATATATATATATAATTCTTACCTTTAATAGATTGTACCATGTCTACAGGTATAGATATATTAAGGAGACCAATAGCTGTATAAACAGAGACAAATATGTCTCCTTTTATATATACAGATATATATTCATTAGTATTAACTGTCTCCTTTATTAGATCAGAGAATATATCCTCCTTATTAGTAAATACCTCTAATTGTGTAGGTAATAAACTTAATAATAAGCGCATATCTCTTATTGTCTCCTTTTTTATTACTGTCTCCTTTTTTGTCTCTTTTTTTATCTCTTTTTTTTTTATCTCTTTTTTTTTATCTGTATCTTTTATTATTTTTATTTCTTTATTATTATTATTATTATTATTTATTGTCTCCTTCCCTTCTCCTTCTTCCTCTTCTTCTTCTTCTTTTGTCTCCTCTTCTTCCTCTTTTTTATTATATTCTCCTTGCTCTAGTATCTGTACTCCTCCTACCTCCATTGCCCCCATTGGTCCCCCTTCGTCATTAAAAGGAGACAGGTATAATCGTCCATCCATGGATTTTATCTGCATGCATGCATGCATGCATATATATTAATTAATTAATTAATTAATTAATTAATTAATTAATTAATTAATTAATATGCATGCATATAAAAAAGGAGGAAAGGAATAAACATAATAAGAAAAATAATAAAAAAACAGAAAAATAAACACAATAAATAAATAAATAAATAAATAAATAAATAAATAAATAAATAAATTAATAAACTTACTGTATGCTGAATATTAAATTGAGGAGGAAAGGAATAAAAAAACAAATAAATAAGATAAATAAATAAAAAAAAGAGATAAATAAACAAGATAAATAAGCAAATAAATAAATAAATAAATAAATAAATAAACAAAATAAATAAATAAATAAATAAAATAAACTTACTGTATGCTGAATATTGAATTGAGGAGGAAAAGAGTATATTGCCTCTAATTGTGCCTCTACTAATATATTGTCTCCTTGTTGTATATCTACATCTACTCCTTGTATGTTTATTTCCTTCATTAATTGATTAGTTATTCCTTTTTTTTTATTTATATTATTATTATTATTTATATTATTATTTATATTATTTATATTTATATTATTATCTATAATATTATCATCAAAGGAGACAGTTACATCAAAGGAGACACCTGCTAGTAGATATTGTATCCATAGAGGAGGAGGAGGAGGAGGAGTCCCTTTATTATATAAATAATAATTATAATTATTATTATTTATATAATTATATTTATTTATATAATTATTTGTATATTTATGACGATTAATAGTTAAATATAATAATGAATCTTTTGGGGCTTTATATGCATGCGCTGCTCCTTTTATTTTTATTTTATTGTCTCCTCCCCTAAAGAAACTTGTTGCTAATTGAGAAAAGGAGACACTATCCTCTGGTTGTATAACTCCCTCTAGATATATTAAAGGAGACACTTCTTTTTCTTCTTTTTTTTTTTCTTCTTTTTTCTTCTTTTTCCTCCTCATGCTCGTATTCTTGCTGCTGCTGTTGTCTCCATTTTCTGCTGTCTCCTCATCCCCTTCTTCTTCTTCTTCTTCTTCTTCTTCTTCTCCCTCTATCTCCTTATTATTATTATTATTATTATTATTAATTGTCTCCTTATCTTGTATATTTAATTGAGGAATAAGTACTGCACCTATCTCCTTGTCTTGGTACTCAATAGTGAATATTAATCCCCATAATAAAACAGAGACACCCCTTAGTAAGGGAATATTTATTCCTGTCTCTAATAGTAGGGCAGGAGGGGGACGAATAGAGGTATGCTCCTCCCCTACTGCCCTCCTCCTGCTGCTGTTGCTGCTGTTGCTGCTGTTGTTTGGGGGAGGAGGGGGAGGAGGGAGAGCTGCTGCATGCGTTGGGGCTTTGCTGCTTGGTAAGAAATCATATATACGGAGACACCTAAGGGCAGAGGAGGAGAGACGATTAAGTGTCTCCTTATTGAATAGTCCTAGTCCCTGTAAGGAGACAACGGAGTGTATAGGCACCTCTTGTAAATATAGAGGACCAATAGGAGACAGCAGCAGCACATTTGCTGCTCCCTGTACACCTAAATATACTTGCTGCTGCTGCTGCATAATAGATAGGGCTAATGCAGCAAATGCTGCACCATCATCAGCAAATATAAGTGTCTCCTTTACTACAAAGGAGACACTTTGTCCCTCTTGCTGCACCTCACGGTCACTAACTACTAAGCGGCCTATGCAACGGCCTTCCTCCTGCTGCTGCTGCTGCTCCTGCTGCTGCTGCTGCTGCTGCTGTTGATTGTCTGTTGCTTGCAGTCTCCTTGACGTGCTGCCTGCAGAAGAAGAAGGAGACACCTCATTGTCTCCTGTCTCCTTATCATCATTCCCTTCCTTTTGCTGCTGTTGTTGTATATCTCCTTGCTCCTTCTGCTCCCCTTGCTGCTGCTTCTGCTTCTGCTTCTGCTGCTGCTGCTGCTGCTGCTGCTGCTGCTGCTGCTGCTGCTGCTGTGTGAGCTCTATAAGACGTATATCTACTCCTATTTGTTGTACCTTAAGGGGATAATTGTCTCCAAAGGGACTATTTATATTTGCCTCTATTGTTGCCCCTAATAATACACCATTATTTATATTTATATTATTTATATTTATATTATTTATATTATTATTATTTATATTATCTTCTCCTCCTCCTCCTTCTCCTTCTCCTTCTCCTTCTCCTTCTTCTCTCTCCTTTATAACAGATACACCATCAGGAGACACCTGAGGAGACACCTGAGAAGGAGACACCTGATGAGGAGACACCTGATGAGGAGACAGCTGGTGAGGAGACAGCTGGTGAGGAGACAGCTGATGAGGAGACAGCTGATGAGGAGACAGTTGGTGTAGCTGTAGTCCCTTCATCTTTAGATCATTAAATGCTGAGTTAGCTAATCCTTGTAGATGAGGAAGAGACACCTTGAGGTGTATACGCAGTATTGTCTCCTTGACCCATAAAGGAGCAATATAATTACCTATAAAGGAGACATTTTTTCCCTTAACTATAACAAAAGGAGACAATCCTCTTAGTATATTAGATATAAATATAGATACATCTATTAGGTCCTCCTTATTAGGTCTTATTAATCCTTTTGCATGCAATTCTCCTCCTCCTTCTCTTAGTTCTAATTCAGGTACATATAAATCCCCTAAATATATTAATTTATTCTTTTCTTCTTCTTCCTCCTGCTGCTGCTGCTGCTGCTGCTGCTGCTGCTGTTGTTGTTGTTGTTGATCATCATCATGATGAGGAGAAAGATCTACGGGAGTTGATTGGAGAAGGCGGTTGTTATTGCTGCTGCTGCTGCTGCTGCTGCTGTTGCTGCTGCTGCTGCTGCTGCTGCTTCGTTCTATGAATAATTGGAAGGAGAGACCCTTGAGGTGTATAGACAGATCTAATGGTACCTGCAGAGACAGCTTAGCATCTAATGCAAGTCCTCTAGTGTCTCCTTCTTCTTCTTCTTCTTCTTTATTGTCTCCTTTTTTGTCTCCTTCTTCTGTCTCCCCTAATGTGTCTCCTTTTGCTGCCTCTAAACGAATTGAATCTACTGTAAACTCCATATCCGATGTACCCTTACCGCTGCTGCTGCTGCTGCTGCTGCTGCTGCTGCTGCTGATGCTTACACCACTACCAGCAGTACCACCACTGCTGCTGCTGCTGCTGCTGGTCGTAGCTGCTGCTGCTGCTGCTGCTGCTGGACTAGTAGTTAAGGCCTTAGCTATGCCTGCATCAAGGAGACTGCTGCTGCCTGTGATCTCTAGATCGGAGACATTAAGGAGACCAAAAGGAGACACAACAGCAGCAGAGACACGAGCAACATAAGTTAATAAGGAGGGACCTTTATTTATTTGTGCAGCAACAAAGGAACTAAATGCTGTCCCTTTATCTGCTAATATAAATATATCTTTATTACCATCCAGCTGTATAGACACCTCAAGTATGTCTCCTTGCTGCTGCTGCTGCAGAGGAGCACGAGGAGACACCTCTAATACACCTAGTAGTGTCCTCCTACGAGTTCTCCTTCCCTCCCCACTGCTGCTGCTGCTGCTGCTGCTGTTGCTCCCGCTGCCGTTATCACTGTTGCTGCTGCTGCTGCTGGTTATTGTTGTTGTTGTTGTTGTTGCTGTATCTCCTTCCTCTGTCTCCTCTGAATAAAGGGACACATGGGCCCCTACCTGCAGCAAACGAAGGGGGGCCTCCTTACCTAAGGGATTACGCATATATGCGGAGACAGTAGCAGATATTCTTACGTCATTAGTGTCTCCTCCTGTCTCCACTCGTAGTCCCCTAAAGGAGACACCCTCTATTATACCTAATGAGGGCTCCAACCTGTATACATATATATATACATTTATTTATTTATTTATTTATTTATTTATTTATTTATTTTATTTATTTATTTATATTTAATTAATTATTTATATATACAAATATTTATGCACACATATACATATAATATACATATACATACTAATATAATAATACATACATCCCTCCCCCTCCCCCCCTACCACCACCATCATCATCAGCAGCAACAGCAACAACAACAGCAGCAACAGCAACAGCAGCAGCAGGAGCAGGAGTATACCCTTATCCTTACCCGGAGATAGAAGGTTGTACATTTAATGAATTAAATAATTCCCCTAACCAAGAAGGACGAACATTTTGTTCATCTTCCCTCCATCTAATTGATACCCCAAGGGGCCCCCCATTTACGGCATTATTTATCAATCGAGCTAGCCGAGACGGTTGACTGGGGGCCCCTATATCGGTGGGGGCCCCCTGGGTAGGGGCCCCCACCGAAATGGGAGCCCCCACCTCGGTGGTGGGGGACCCTTCCAAAATAGGAGCCCCTTCCAAAGTGGGGGGGGCCCCAGTGGTGGGGGACCCAGTGGGGGCCCCTATAGGGGCCCCTATATGGGGGGCCCCAAGTGTCTCCTTTTGTTGTGTTGTATCGTATAATTCACCAAATACACGAATAGGGTGTCTCCCTCCCCCTAATACAGCAGAGGGTACATATCCTTGTCCTATTATTATATTATCTTGTGTATCTATTATATAAAAAGAGAGACTACCTGCATATATACGCATGTCTCCTGCTGCTGCTGTTGCTGCTGCTGTTGCTGCTGCTGTTGATGGTGCTGTTGTTGCTGCTGTTGTTGATAGTGATGATGGTACTAATGCTGTTGTTATTGGATCTGTTGTGTCCCCTTCTGCTGCTGTTGCTGCTGTTGCTGCTGTTGCTGCTGCTGCATCTCCTAATAATAGATCAACAGCAAAGGAGATACTGTCTCTCCCGTTGTCTCCGTTAATAACAACAGCAGCAGGAGAGAAGGACAATACACGTAGTCCCTTACTAAGGGCATCAACAGCAGCAGCAAGACCATTAAAGGAGACACTTTGCTGCAAGGAGACACCTTGTATATTTAATAAACCAATAGGAGACTGCAGCAGCAAAGATGCTACTCCCTCTATTATTATTATTGTCTCCTTTTCTCCCCTCATTACTCTCCCGGCAAAAGAAGAAAAAGTGTCTCCTTCCTCTATCTGCAGCAGCACATCTAATGGTAGCTGCAGCAGCAGCAGTCCCTCAGGTGTCTCCTTAAATTCTACAGGGGAATCAAACATTAAATAGTCCCCTCCTTCTCCTCCTTCTCCTCCTTCTCCTCCTTCTCCCCCTGCTGCTGCTGCTGCTGCTGCTGCTGTTGCTGCTGCTGGCGGTGTTGCTGCATGCGCTATTATAGCTCCTGTTGCTGCATCCTTTATCTGTCCCCTAAGAGAGATAGCAGCAAGAGACAGAGGTGTCTCCTTTCCTAAGAAAGGCTGCAGCAGCAAGGAGACAGCAGCAGAGACAGCAATATTATCTGCTGCTGTTGTTGCTTCCCTTATATCTATCTCTGTGTCTCCTATTACTATTGCATGCACAAGAGAAGGAGGCAGCAGCTGCTGTCCCTTTATAGCAGCAGCAACAGATAAACCATTAAATACACTAGATAGCCAAGGAGGAGCAGCAGCACCAGCAGCAAATGATGCCCTTATAGACACCTCAACACCATCATCCCTCCCACTGCTGCTGCTGCTGCTGCTGCTGCTGCTGCTGCTGCTGTCTGCTGCACCTATTACCATCCCTTTTGCTGCTGCTGTTGCTAAGCTACTTAGATCCCTTATACCTTGTGGTGTCTCCTGCTGCAGCAGCAAACCATCAAAGACAACAGGTGTCCTTATTGGATAAGGCTGCAGCAAGACTGTCTCCGTTGCTGCTGCAGCAACTAATGTGTCTCTAAATAATATATGCAGCAGCAAAGGAGGAAGAGACACCTCAATAGGCAAAGGAGACAAAAAAGAGGCCCTCCCTATAAATTTTAGTCCCTTTTCTTCCTTGGATACACCTAAGAAAGAGAGACTATCTAATTGAGGATCAAGGCCTACTACTGCTGCTCCCCCACCTCCTCCTCCTCCTCCTCCTGCTGCTGCAGTATATGCTGCTGGTGCTGCTGCTGCTCCTGCTGCAGGAGACAGAGAAAAGGAGACAGGTCCATCTACCTGTAGTCCCTCTATAAGTAATGGTTCCTCTAGGTCTCCTATCTGCAAGGAGACAGCTGCTTCTCCACTAGCAAAAAGAACAGCACCTGCTGCTGCTGCTGTTGCTGCTGCTGGCTCCTCCTCCTCCTCCTCCTGCTGCTGCTGCTGCTGCTGCTGGGGGGCCCCTATAAGGCCCCGTACCCATTTACCTAGGGCCTCCCCTTGGTCATATAATTCAAAGACAGCATCAACAGTCATCTCTATAAGGAGACGGGAGACACCATCTGTCTCCTCCCCTATAACTATTGTATTTGCTGCTGCTGCTGCTGCTGCTGCTGCATCTGCTGCTGCATCTGCTGCATCTGCTGCTGCTGCTGCTGATCGTACTGTCCCTAGCAGCAGACCGTCTTGTGTCCGCAGCATAAAGTTATAAAAGGCAGCTAAGACACGAAAGGAGACAGCAGACCCTAAAGGAGACAGTGCAACAACTCTTGCTGTTGCTGATACCCTCATGCTGCTGCTGCTGCTGCTATTTGCTGCTGCTGCTGCTGCTTCATCATTAAGGTGTACAACTACCTTTGTTACCTCTAGCTGCTGCAGCAACTTATTTGCATGCAGCCCCGAGAAAAGAGCAGCAAGAGGAGGGAGCTTAGTATTTAATTTAATTAAGGATAGACCCTCAATTAGCCAATCAGGTGCTGCTGCTGCTGCTGCTGCAGCAACAGCAGATGCTGCAGCAGCAGGAAGGGAGGTATAGGAGACAGTTGCCTGAATAAGTGTCTCCTTTTCTTCTTTTATTATAGATGTAAATAAACGTGATAAAATACCAACTGTCTCCTTTGTTACGAATAGTCCCCCTGTATACATATACACATATAAATATATATATACATAATAAGTACTGTTGCTGTTGCTGTTGCTGCTGCTGCTGCAACTGCTGCTGCTGCTGCTTCTGCGGTAGCAGCAGCAAGACCAAGAAGAACAGCAGCAACAACAACAGCAGGAGCAAAAACAACGGCAAACAACAGCAACACCAACAATAACAGCAAAAGCAGCAACACCAGCAGCAGGACGAACAGCAGCAGCAGCACAAATAGCAGCAGCAGCAGCAGCAAGAGCAGCAGCAAATAAGTTACCTTGTAGATCAACAGTATTGGTTCCCCTTTTTAAGGAGACACTTGCTGCATGCATGCAGCCAATGGTTATCCCCTCATAGGCAACAGCAACCAAGGTGTCTCCTAGTGCAGCAGCAGCAGCAGATTCACTATTAATAATTACTCGTGTCTTTATTATTATTCCTTTGTCTCCTCCTGCTGCTGCAGCAATTGCTGCTGCTGCTTCTATTACTTTTGCTGCTGTTGTTGTTGTTGTTGCTGCTGCTGCTGTCTCTTCCTCATCATCTGTCTCCTCTCCTGCAGTTGTCTCCCCATCATCATCAACACCATCTGCTGCTGCTGCTGCTGCAGCTGGAGCAGCAGCAGCAGCAGCAGCAGCAATAGCAGCAGTAATACTACCTGTCCCCTTAACAAGAAAAGAAGAAAAGGAGACACTATTTAATCCCCCTAATCCCCTAAAGGAGACAGTATTATATACAGGTATATTAGATACAGTAAGGGGACCAAAAGGAGACAATAAAATAATATTTGCTGCTCCCTCTATCTGCAGCAAAATATCTTGCTGCTGTACAAATGCAGCAGCAAATACACCAAAACGTTTTGCTGCTGCTGCTGTTGATGGTAGCACCAGCTGCGTACTTAATGGTGCTGTTACCTCTACTATACTTGCGTCTCCTCCTTCTCCTCCTTCTCCTCCTCCTGCTGCTGCTGCTGCTGCTGCTGCTGCTGTTGGATCGTCTCCTTCTTCCCCGTCTCCTGCTGCTGCTGCTGCTGCTGCAGTACCAGGTCCTGCTGGCCTGCATGTAAGAGAAGGTAGATCTATCTGCATAGTGCCCAGGTGTACATACACCTGATTAGGGGTAAAGTTATTAATAGTAGTAATAATACCTGCAGGTGTAGGTACTTGGGGTGTCTCCGCAGGTATAATTGCAGCAACATTAGCAGCAAAGGAGACACTCTGCAGCAGCAGCAGGACATTATTACCTAGAGGATTATTAATATATATATTAGTTGTCCCCTCTAAGGGGACAATTGTATTAGATACACCTAACCAATTAATATTTATTTCTTTTATTAATACTTTTCTTATATAAGAGGAGACACTAGGTAATAAGGGGACAGGTACATCAAGAGACAGTCCCTCTAATGCCTGTACTATCCATCGAGCAGGAGGAGGATATGTCTCTTCTTCCTCTTCCTCTTCCTCTTCCTCCTTTTGTCCCTCCTCCTCCTCCTGCTGCTGCTGCTTCTGCTGCTGCAGCTGCTGCTGCTGCTGCTGCTTCTTGGCCTTTTTCTTATCTTGTTTATATTTATTTATATAAGGAAAGAAAGACATAAGAGACAAATAGTCTTCTGTCTCCGTATTAGTAGAGAATATAACCTTCATCTTAGGCCTGCTGCTGCTGCTGCTGCTGCTGCTGCTGCTGCTGCTGCTGCTGCTGTTGGTGCTGTTGGATACAGCAGCAGAGATAAAACTCTCTAATGCTGCTCTTGCTGTCTCCTTTGGTCCCTTAGGTTGCAGTCTGCCTATAACAGGAAGAAGTGTCTCCTTTTCCCTAATAAATAGATTAGGTGCAGCAGCAGTACCTAAGGAGACACCATTATATATAAGTTGCATGCATACAGGCCCAACAGCAGCAGCAACAGGGAGAGCAGCAGCAACTGCTGCCTCAGATAAGAATAACCATGAATATGTCTCCTGTTTAATAAGAGAGAAGGAGGAGGCAGCAATATTATATAAATTGTCTCCTCCTCCTAGTCCTATTAAGGGTATAGCTGCATCTAATTGCATGCACTGCAGCAAGAGAGGACCTATATTTATATTTATATTTATATGCATGCATGTATTAATAAAGTGTATATACACCTCATCTGCTGCTGCTAGTCTCCTTATAAGAGACACTAATGTGTCTCCTTTGTCTCTTAGTAATAAATTACCCTGCATAATAAAATCTATATCTATCCATGCTGCTGAGGAGACTAAGGGGGCACCTCCTCCTGCTGCTGCTCCTGCTGCTGCTGCTGCTCCTGTTGTTGCTGATGCTGCTGATTGGTCCTGCTGCTGCTGCTGTCCTCCTCCTGCTCCTCCTGCTGCTCCTGCTGCTCCTGCTGCTGCTGCTGCTGCTGCTGCTGCAGATAGACGACGAGGAAGAAGATTTGTATAATCATTTGTCTTAATAAAAGTGTCTCCTTCCTCATCATTAACACCTATACGCATAATAGAGGAAAAAGGAGACAATAAGGAGACAGTGTCTCCTTTATTGTCTCTTTTTTTTTTATTCCCTTTTCCTCCTCCTCCCCCTCCTCCCCCTCCTCCTCCTTCTTCTTCTTCTTCTTCTTCTTCTTCTTCTTCTTCTTCTTCTTCTTCTTCCTCATCAAGACAAGGAGCATCTGCTGCTACCTCTCTTACTATACCTACAGGAGACAAGGAGACACTTATATCACCAACTAATTGTCCCTTTGCTGTATCTGTATGCATCTCTCCTTTGTATTCTATCTGCACACAACAAGGAGACACATTTATTTATTTATTTATTTATTTATTTATTTATTATATTTACTTATTTATTTATTTATTTATTTATTTATTTATTTATTTTATTTATTATTGTTGTTTATAGGTGTATATAGTTATATACTTTCTTTGTCTCCTTTTATGCTTGTGGTGTCTATCTGTCTCCTTTTTTCCCCGTGTAATGCATGCATGCATGCATGCATGCATGCATGTATATTAATATGTATATATATACCTGATTAATAGAGATAGGGGAGTTATGACCAAGAGGATTAGCTATACGTATAGTTAATTGTGCATTAATTAATACATTATTATTATTATATTTATCTTCTTGTATATACATGTCCCTTAATCTTAGTCCCTCTATCATGCTTATTGCTGGGGTGTCTCCTCTTGGTTTAGGGGCTAAGGAGGGACGTTTTTGTCTCCTTTTCTTATTATTAATTATATTATTATCTTCTCCTCTTTCTCCTCCATCTATTGATGTCATTATTGTTGGTCCTGCTGCTGCTGCTGTTGTTGTTGTGTCTGCTGCTGCTGCTGCTGCATCAGCAGCAGCAGCAGCAGCAGCAGCTTCCTGCCAACCCTTACGGGGCCCCACAGTTACACCACGTACTGGTGTCTTGAATGCAGCAGCAAGAAGGGCAGGAAGGAAAAGTGTCTCCGAGCAGGAGACACCTTGTGCATCTAGCATAACTTCTTGTCCTGATAAGGATTTAGATAACATAGAAGAAAGAGCAGCAAGAAAGGAGACATTTGTCTCTTGTTTTCCTCCTTCTCCTTCTCCTCCTCCTTCTCCTGCTGTTGTTGCTGCTGTTGCTGATGAAGAAAGGGGAGAAAAAGGAGACAATTGGGTAGATACGTGGTGGTTATTTTGGTGGGGTTGTTGGGTAGTTGGAGACGTCGTCCTATTGGGATCGTTATTGGGATCGTGTGTGGGGTTGTTGGGATCGTAATTGGGATCGTGTGTGGGGTTGTTGGGATCGTAATTGGGATCGTGTGTGGGGTTGTTGGGATCGTTGGGATCGTCGTCTCCATTAGAGACAGAAGAAAGGGAACGAGGAGGAGCATGCATATTAATAATTTGCCCAATAAATGTATAATAATTGTCTCCTTTATTTAATGATAAAGGAGACAAAGATTGCATATAACCTAATGGTATACCCTCATAACTTAATAAGAATCTAACTGTCCCTATCTTATTTATAATTGTATTACTCTTATTAATAAATCCTACCTCTGCATGCATGCGTAGTGTCTCCTTATCGCTACTACTCATGTCTAGGGATAATACACGAAAAGGAGACACTCCTCCTTCTTCTTGTCTACCTAATAATGCAGGACCTATACACACATATATACATACACACATATTTATTTATTTATTTATTTATTTATTTATTTATTTATTTATTTATTTATTTATTTATTTATTTATTTATAAGGAGAGGGAAGAAGACACAAAAAAGGAGACACATAGAAAGACATAAAAAGAGGAAAAAAAAGACAAAAAAAGAGACAAAAAAGGAGAGAAAAAAGGAGACAAAAAAGGAGACAGAAAAAAGGAGACAGAAAAGAGGAGACAAAAAAAGGAGACAGAAAAAAGGGGACAGAAAAAAGGAGACAGAAAAAAGGCGACAAAAAAAAAGGAGACAGAAAAAAACAGACAGGAAAAAGGAGACAAAAAAAAGGAGACAGAAAAAAGGAGACAAAAAAGGAGACAAAAAAGGAGACAAAAATGGAGACAAAAAAGGAGAAAAAAAAGGAGAAAAAAAAGGAGAGAAAAAAAAGAGAGTATATATAATTTACCTTGAACATTAACAGAAAATGTATAAGGAATATCCTTATATGTTATACCTAATGCCCTTATATTAGCTGTCCCCTCTATTAGCCAAGGGACAGTCCCCTTATTAAGGAGAGAGGAGGAGAATTGTGTCCATGTGTCTCCTTGTTTATTAATAATTAATTTAGTATATAAATATATTTCTTGCTGATTCCTTTTTATATATATAGAAGGAAAAGAGACAGTACCTATCTCCTTACCTTCCCATGATGCAGCAGCAGCAGCAGCAGCAGAAAATATTGTATTAACAGGAGGAGGAGACAATAAATTTATCCTTATTGTTGCTAATAATGTGTCTCCTCCTACTGTCTCCCTTACTACTGTCTCTATTACATTAAATTTACTATTAGCTACTATAGATCTAACAATAAGAGGAGACACAATATATATAAATAAGGGTATACATATTATTAATAATATACATAAGATAAGGAGACACCAGCATAAATATCTTCTTCTTTTCTTCTCTTTCTCCTTCTCTTCTTCTTCTTCTTCATTGCATGCATGCATACTTCTATCATTATTATTATTATTATTATTATATATATATCCATCTAATACACCATCTCTAGCTGGGGGGGCCCCCTGGGTGGGGGGCCCCCCAATACTGGGGGGCCCACGCACTCCTGGAGACGTTGTTGGGGACCCACAGGGGGCCCCTACTACTAGGGCGTCACCCATTGGGGCACCACGACGCTGAGATACCCCCCATCGTCCAGTCCCTTTAGGGGGACATATAGGGGCCCCTTTCGTTGGGGCCCCCTCGGGGGCCCCCATTGGGCACCCTTGCCCGGGGGACACCCTCTCTCTTAAGAACCCGTTCTTAGGGGACTTCTTCCCATTTGATGGTGAATGCACCTGTGGGCTGGGGGGCCCCAGGGGCCCCTCAGGTAGAGGAGACTGGAGAAGGGGCCCCTCATGCATCATAGAGGGTTCAATTCGTGGTGGGGGCCCCTCGGGGGCCCCCTCAACAACATTATCTCCTTGTGAACAATCTAAACTCCATAAAGAATAGCTGCTGCTGCTGCTGCTGCTTTTGCTGCTGCTGCTGCTGCTGCTGCTCTTCTTCTCCTTTGTTGGGCTGCTTGTCTCCTCTTGTGGGGAGGAGGGGCCCTCCCCTTCCTCTGGAGGCCCTGCTGCATGCATTGAAACAGCAGTAGCAGCATCTGCTGCTGCTGCTGCTGCTGCAGCAGCAGGGGAAGAAGGAGCAGCAGATGCAGCTGACGGCGAGGGAGTCATAAGAGACAGGGGAAGAAGAAAATATAAAAAACAAAAGGAGACACTAAAAGGAGACACTTAGCTGCTGCCAGGGGGGAAGGGGACAACAGATAAATAGCAAACAACGGATAACAGCTGCTGCTGCAGCAGCTGCAGCAGCTGCAGCAGCGCCAGCAGCGGCGGCAATAGCAGCTGCTGTTGTAGTTGCTGTTCAGCAGCAGCAGCAGCAGATGCTGCTGCTTGTAGCAGACCTGGGGGGCCCCCCTAATACACAAATATAAATAAGGAGTATATATAGTGACCAATGGTCCCTTTATAGCAGCAAAAAAGGGTACTAGGGGGCCCCCTTCCCTCCCATTATAAGATTATATGACCCTAGGGGGGCCCCCAGCAGCAAAACTGGCCCCACAGCGCTGCTGCAGCACACCTGCATATCACCCGCTGCTGCTGCTGCTGCTGCTGCTGCTGGTAGTAGTTGTTGCTGCTGCTGCGGTAGTGATGGTGTGTGGTGGTGGGGCTGCTGCTGCTGCTTCGGCCCTGCCAGCTCGTGCTGCTGCTGCTGATCTGCTGCTGCTGCTGCTGCGGCAGGCGGCAGGCGTGCAGCAGCAGATCAGCAAGCAGCAAGCAGCGAGCAGCAGGAGCTGGCGCTGCAGCGGGGAAGGTCAGCAGCAAGAGCAGCAGCGACGTGCAGCAGCAGCAGCAGGAGACTGTTGGCAACAGCAAAGAAGGGGGCCCTCTCAATGGGGGCCCCGCTGTTGCTGCTGCTGCTGCAGCTCTTATCAACAAACCTAACAAGTTGCTGCTGCAGCACTTCTCTTTGTTGCTAATGGCAGCACAGCAGCAACAGCAGCAGCAAAACAAAAAAGAATATTTATTGATTAATAAGTAAAAAGGGAAGAAAACAAACGCCTTCGCAGCAGCTGTGCACAGCAGCAGCAGCAGCAGCAACAGCAGCAGCAGCAGCAGCAGCAGCGGCGACTCTTCTACGGTACTACTACGTGTACCGGCGCTGCTGCTGCTGCAGTTCTGCAGCAGCAGCAGCAGCAGCAGCAAAGAGGCAGCAGCAGTCGCCATTTTTTATTTATTCTTTTTATTTTATTTAATATAAAATATATATTATTTAATTCCCTTTTTTTTTATTATAAAGGGGGGCCCCCCTGCTGCTGCTGCTGCTGCTGGAGCAGCAGCAGCAGAGAGCCGCCGCCTTGCTGCTGCATGGAGACGGAAAGGCTGCTGCTGCTGCAGTTGCTGCTGCTGCAGCAGCAGCAGCAGCAGCAATTGTTCTTCCTATAAATAAATATATAAATATATAGTATAAATGTATTTTTATTCCTTTTTTCTTACGAAGAAGAAAAGAAGGCAAAAGGTTGCTGCTGCTGCTGTTAATTGCATCGAGGTATTTATTTGCGGTGTATATACACCATAAATAAATAAATAAATAAATATATTTTATTCTTTTTTATTTTGTCTTATTTTTTTGTATTTTTTTATTCTCCTTTTTTCCTTTATATTATCTATATTTGCATGCATGCATGCAGCAGCAGCAGCAGCCCGCAGCAGCACTCGACGAGGCAGTTGCGGTGTATGTTATATACGGACTGTTCCTGCTGCTGCTGCTGCTGCAGCAACAGCAGCAGCAGCAGCAAAAAAAGGAGACAAAAAAGAATATAAATAGGAAATATAAATGTCTCCTTTTATACAATAAAGGGATATACAAAAAGAGACACTTTTTGCTGCTGTTACTGCAACAGCCAATAAGAACAATAAGAAAACTTGCTGCTGCTGCTGCTGCTGCTGCTGCTGCTGCTGCTGCTCCTGTTGCTGCTGCTGTTGCTGCAGTACGAGCAGCAGCATACTAATTTATACACACTACACCCTCAGTGTACATACACCCCAGTAAGTTGCTGCTGCATGCACTTTGCATGCATGCACACTTTGGGGCTTTTTACTTAATATTTAGCTGACAATTATACTGATGCTGCTGCTGCTGTTGCTGCTGCTGCACAACTCTTATCGTAGCTGAGGGTCTCCTCCCTGCCGTTGCTGCTGCTGCTGTTGTTGCTGTTGCTGCTGCTGCTGCGGGGAGAGCAGCAGGGAGGGTATTCTGTGCCTCTGCGCCACAGAAAAGAGACAGTCTCTGCATGCAGAGACAACCTGTCTCCTCTTGTCTCCTCGTGTCTTTTCCTGTCTCCTTTGCATGAGGACCTGCTAGTTGCTGCATCACATGTACCAGCAGCAGCAGCAGCAGCAGATGCTGCTGCTGCTGCTCTCTCCACTTCCCTCTGCAGGAATGTAGCATGCAGATAGTTTAATAACTTTATAGTCTCCTCCATGGGGCTGCCGCTGCATGCAGCAGCAGCTTCTGCTGCTGCTGCATGTGTTGCTGCTGTTGCTGCACGTGTAGTTGTTGCTGCTGCATGCGCTGCTGCTGCTGCCTGTGGGGTTTTGTTTGCATGCGTTGTTGCTGCTGCAGATATTATTATATCTGCTGCTAAGTTCGTGTTGCAGTGCATGCAGCCCCAAAGTCTTGACAACTGTCTCCTTTTATATATTAAATAGTTATTTATTATTGTCTCCTTTTCTTATCTATAAGAAGAGGAATAACACTGAGGTGTATAGGCAGGTATCCTTATAGACACAAAAGGAGACAAAAGGAGGGAGGGGGAGACAAAAGGAGACAAAAGGAGACAGGAGGGAGGAATAGACAGAAGAGAGGAGGGAAGCAGCAAATACCCTAAGAGACAATTACTAATAAGTGTCTCCTTTGTCTAGTGTCTCCTTTGTATAAATAAATATAATTATATTTATTTATTATATTTATATTTATTATTAATATCTATTATTTATATTTATTATTTATATTTATTATTTATATTTATTATTTATATTTATATTTATAAGAAAAGAAAAGAAAAAGGAAGGAGTTACCCCACAGCAGCAGCAAAGACACAAAGACACGAACGAGGCGCATAGCAAATCTCAGCAGCAGCAAAGACACAAAGACACGAACGAGG